GCGGAGCCGGGGAGGGGGTTGCCGCGGCGCCCTGAGCCAGAGCCACCCGACAGGCAGGTCACGCACCCTTCTCCCCGGGGTGCCCGGGCCTACCAGCACACCATGTAATCTTTATCAGACAAGCGGTAGTGTTAAAACAATCTATTTACAGCGGTAGAGAACGTGTGCGATTAACCGTAAGTTACAGACAAGGAAATGTTTACGAGTTTGCAGAGACGCCGAGAAACTGAAAGCAAAGGGCAAAGCATGGGGTTGTCAGAATGTCATTTTCTGAAAGTTTATCTTGTAGCAATAATCTGATTTAGAAAGTAGCATCTCAAATACACTAAACAAGATAAAAGCATATGGTACACTACCTTACGCAGAAATAGTACGTTGTTGAGAATCGTTGAAGTATCTATGTGTGAACTCATCAATTGTTGCCATGGCCAGTGATAATTAAAAGCATTTATATCCTTGCAGGATAGAGCCTGTTGAAAAATACTTCCATGTCACTTAAGTGGAATCACTCCGAAGCTTTCTACAGCTTCTCCCAAAAATTGTAACCAAATGAGGTGTAATTGAAGTCAAATAGATACTTGCTGTAACCCACAACAGATGAGGAAAACAATTTTTCATTGGCCTACTGTTAAAAAAAAAAAAGATGAGTTTTAAAGCTTTCTTTGCTAAAAACTGAATACTTTTACCCACCATTCCAGGGTTCCATTCCATTCCATTAAATAACTGAAAATACTACTACAAAGTCACTGAGGCAGCCACTGCTATCCATTGAAAGAAATGTTTTGTCAGAAAGGGATTTATGCAGCAGTCTTCTTGGATAAACCTGGATGCTAGACAAAAGAAAATTATATAGTTTTGTCTAAAGATGCAGGTTAATGTAAAAAAACCAACCAAACAAAAAAACACGAACAACAACAAAAAGAAACCCAACTCCCAGCTTTTCAACTACTTATCCTTAAAACTTTGCCAACAAATTTTGTATAAGGATTATCATTGGGGCAAACTGTCCCAGCATTAAAATCTAATGTATCAGATGTATAAATTCATTGGCTTATAATAGATTTGCCAGACTAACTTTGTCAGAAGCAAAGACAGTAAAAGAAAACCCAGATTGTTAGATTGATTTTTGACAGAATTTTCTTCTATGTTAATACGTAATTTCTCCTCTTTAGATTTATACAGATATTGCCATGGTCCTAGATAGTTTTAGGAATGACATTCCATCTTTTAGAAGCCAACTTTAACTTCAGTCTACAGAGATCTTTCAAACAGAAGTGTAGTTTTCTTGGCAAGACCCTGTTTTTCATTAAATTACTGACACATTCTCACAGATTCAGTGGTTCAAGATGGAGTTTAAAATCCGTCCATGTACCTGTTTTGGTCAGTGCAAAGTTTCAGGTCACAAATACCAAAATAAAACTCCTATTATAGCTTTTATAATTAAAGCTATATACTTACAAGGAAAACTGTAAGAAGACAGGATTCTAGGAAACTGTTTATTGGATTTTTTTGGGAGAAAAAAAAAATTATAGAACATCCTCCCGTAAGGACTTGCACATTCATCAAAACCAAAAGTGACAAAGAGTTCATTTACAGTAATTTTCCAACACAAGCTCTTCTGCAAACTGGACCGGTTCCCATTTGCTTCCTAACTCTTAGGCAATGCATGTGGCAGATTGAAGAGAATCCTACTCTTGGGCAAGCCAGGAGACCTGGGACGTGGAGTCTAACACGGAGCTTCGAACATCCACAGTTCCATGAAAACCTACAACAGAGAATGTCTTGCAGTCAGAAATGCTAAAACTTGCACAGTTCACTGCGCTCTCCCTTTCACATATAACTTCGGTATTTAAGATTGCTACACGTTTGAACAGGAACAATTTTAAATATCAAAAGCCTTTCAGAAACAAATTCTTTTCTTCATTCATTTATACAGTTTATTATCCCCATACTGTTTCCTCATACTCCCCTCCCCCTGTAATTTTTCTTCCTTCATACGAAGCTTGCAAGATTTTTGTTATCCTCTCTTGAATATACCAGAAACACAGACTTTAAGTCATCTATAAAATAATAGCATATTCCACTCTGGTTATTTTCCAATCTGATATGATCAATATGGCTGAGACCACAAAGATCAGCACACACCATAGCCTATAAAAGGTTAGGTATAGCAGCTTGTGTCCTGCCTGTGTTTTCAAAAAGGCTGTATTATCTGCATCAGGAGTTCAGTATCTACAGACAAAATACCCGGCAGCGATGGAATATCAAGTTCCTTCAGATTTTTTCAAGGGACTTTTTTTTATCATAATTTCTCTTGAAGAATACATTAAAAAGGCTGAATACAGTCCCTCTTAGAGGCTCAATACTGCAGCCAATATTTTTGAGAACTTACTTTCTCAGACTCCTTTCCTAAAGTGAAAGGAGTGGTCTACAATGATGCCTCCTCTCATTTCTCCCTTTGTTGATGCTAAACATTTATTCCATCATTACCATAAGATGGCAATGCTGCATAGACCTATTTTTTCTCTTCTGTGCCACAGTCATTGCTGTATGTGTGGGATAACTGCCTTTTAATAAAGATTTATGTCCATGATGAGTCAAGGTGAAAAATCTTCCTGAGCTCACATGACCTATCAGGCTAGAATGGTTAAGATGTACAACAAATTCTGTAACTAAGATTATATAAAGGATTTTGACATGTATAAAAGGATAGTAGGAAGAGTTGAACACAGTCAAGTCAGTCACTGGTAAATGGATAATTTTATAGTTTAAATTTAAATGTTATCTTGGCATGTATCTGCACAACTCTTCCCAGCAGAGAGTAGAACTAATGGCCCCACAAAAGTTTTGCCAGTAAAACATGGAATATAGCTTTGTGCAGAATTCTAAACACCGAAGTTCATGAGAATTAAATTTGATCAGCTTTAGTTAGGCAGTAATAAGGAATAAAAAATGTGCATTATGAAAGGCCTAAAAGAGCTTGGCTTACTTAGTGTACTAAGACAAAGACTGAGAAATAGGATATGATTCATTTTTATACACATATCAACAGAGCAAACCACTGAGAGAGGAAAAGGATTATATAACCTAACTAAAATTGTTCACATGAGCACAAATTATTGTAGCTACTCATACATACATTTAGATCAGAAATAAATAGAAAAGATACTAACATGAATAGTTGAGTTCTAGATAACCCTTCCAGAAGGAATGAGACCAAAATAAACGGTTATCTTTGAGATCAATTTGTAATAGGAATTCTGTGACATAGCTGCCTCTGTCAGCAGGGACCTGTGCTCAGTAAGTCAACATCAATGACATACAAGTAAATGTAAGAAAATTAGTAAATCCCCATAATTTGGTATTCTCAGCAAGCCAATGGTCTAAAGATGCAGGAAGGCACATACCTGAGTCTTGAGACAGAGTGAAATAGATCTATGGGTCGCCATGAGAGAAAACAGTAGGCATCTTGGGAGTATGGTAGAGCTCAAAGTGTCTAAATCATCCTGTGGAACTGCTTTTCTCACCTTTGCTTACAGGAGGAGTCTAGCGGAACCGGCTCGCAAGTTGCTCCAATAAGCAGGGCAAGTTACATGGAATGGACAAGGGCCTCTGTCCCTGCTGTGATTCAGACCAGCTTGAGCTATTGTTACACTGGGCAGGAATTTGAGGACTACACACCAGATTTGCCTAGCAGTAGTTTGACTCTAACATATTCATGCATCCTTAAGGAATGAAAAAAATCATCTTCTTGTGAGGGACTTAAAAGCAAAGAAGTTAACAAGCTAATCTGATTTTATGAAATCATAAAGGTGGCAGTGTTCATCTTTGCATGTTTTCCATTATACTTAGAAAAACCCAAAGCACTGCAATTAGAAACACATCAGCTTAGGTTAGTCTCACACTTAACATGAATTAAGCATCACTCCACTGGCTTCAATGTATTAATAGCAATTTCTTCATCTTAATTTTTACCAGTTCTTATTGTTAACAGCAAACCTGTCATTTGCTTTTCGTTGGGGTTTTGATTTATTTTTGTTAGTTGGTTGGTTGGTTTAGGGTTTTGTGTTTGGGGTTTTTTTCTGAGAAAAATAAAAGGTAAACTGCTATATCGCTTTTGGTGAAAAGAACAAGATGCAACTGATTGATGTTAGATGCTTCGCTTCACAAATGTGTGGTACATTTATTCTAGGTGGAACCTCATTTGAAGTAGTCTCTACAAAGCCTGTTTTATTCTACATCATGCTATACTTTTATACAGTTTAACAAGAACAATACATGAAAACCATTAGTTTTAGCTAATTTCACTACTGATTTAGCCACTCTTTCTGGTAAAAATGAAAAAGAGGTAATCCCATTGTTTTCCTTGCTTAACAGTAAAAAAATATATATATGGAGAAATTAATTTATGATCTTCATTGTAAATATCCTAAAATTATTACAGGGTAGGTTTTTTGTTTGTCTGTTTGTTTTTTTTGTTTGGAGGTTTGGGGTTGTTTTTTTTACAGTTTTATACTTAACACAGGAAAATTCCGTTAATTACTGCACAGAGTACCTTGTTTTGCCTGCCAATTACAAAACTGTAATATAAGGAAAGGTCTAGAAATTAATAAATTAATGTAAACAATGTTAGTAATGTTAACAATATTTTAATCACTGTAATTTCCACTGTAAGAGGGAATATGTTTTAAAAAACAGTACGTTAATATTGTACTCTATCATCTTGATGCAGCTTAGAATAAACGGGAGTAGCAATTATCTTATAAAAAATTCTACACTACAAAGGAATAGATAACGAATATTCGATCCTAAGGTTTATTAATTATTTATTAGTATAGCCTATATGGTAAGAAAGTTTGATGAATCAACAAGAGGTACTGATTAATAGAACTCCACAGTGCTATTGGATCTACTTGCATTTTCTAGCCTAACAAGGAAGATGTATAACCTCCCCATTGCAAACCAGTGTAACCTTCAAAAATGCTTGCTTTAGTAATTGCATTTGTGGCTTCCTCTTTACTAGATGTGCTAGTTTATAGTATTTTTATACTGTCCTCCTGTTTGTAAGTTCTCTAGATTTCTAATATTTACTAGTGAATTATAATAATTCTTGAAATCTCTCTGCCAATTAAGGCATACTCTATTTGTGAGCAATTCTATGTTTCTCCAAACAAGATTCTCAGCATTCGAATGATACTAAATAGTTTTGATAAGGAGGAAGGGCCCAAGCAGCGTCTTGCCTAAAGATATGTTAAAATGTACTAGACATACTGATGAAAAGTTAAGAATGATATACTCGTAAGTGTTGTCGCTAACTAGGAAGTCACTGGAAATAATGATACTCCAGGAATGATGGCATGCTAAAAATGATGTCATGGCCACTTTTGCCCTCTACAATTTTAATCCTTATCCCATCTCGGCCTGTA